TCTCAGTATATCACCCCACTCAACACTCACTTGTTTGAGAAAAAAAGCTTTGGATTAATCTGATTCATCTATTTCATTGAAAGAATAAAATTCACTCTTTTTTGTCTTTAAAGTCTTGCAATAATTCTGACCAGGAAATTTGTATTTTTTAATACCTTGTAAGTGGACAATTTAAAAAAACTCTATATTTATAGTTGTGCTATTTTTAGTAGGGAGAAATTAAATGTATCTTTCAATTCCAGCATATGATTAAATGCTTTAACAGGTGCATTTGCATGTTGGTACATTATTGATATAGATCATTTAATTCTGATTTATTTATTGGAATCCATTTATTTTATATAATTAAATTATATAATTATTTGTTTTCTAATTTTTATTTTTTACTATTTATATTTATTATATAGGCACATATTTATCTACTAAGTTCAGTTTTATATTATTCAGAATTAAATTCTATTTTTGCACACCAGGTTAATAATGCAGTGATAGCAGTTTGTTGATATATCTAATCAAAATGGTGTTCCTTATATTTCTCTATATTGCTAATTGCAATTCCATTTGTTATAATGTGTAGCTGGTTGCTATGTTAATTGGGATGAGTAAATAAGCATTATTAGGCTTGAACAAACTTATTTATTTCTTTTAGTACATAAAGGCAAGTTTAATACGTTCCATAAATATTTACATCTGTTCAGTTTCTTTGCTTATGTTCACAAAACAGCACTGAAATAAAAACTCTTGTGGCCGCCATTTATTTAATCCCTTCTTGCTTGTTGAACAACTGGGCAGATCTCATAGCTGCTGTCCAAATGCAGACAATGGCCACTCTGACCGATTCTGAATGACCTAAGCATGTAAAGATAGGAGGGCAACTTTTCCAAAACATAAACATAGGATTTCTTAAACAAATGATCTTGATTTCTTGCTGTTCTTTTCTGATACTTGCTGCTATCAGATTTTCCCCGCTTCGCTTTCTGCACACCTCCTTTAGGCTTCTGTGCTGGAAATTCTTCTTCCTGACCGTTCCCTGCATTGATGCTGCTGCATTTCACTGGCTTCTGCTTCTCCTTGGTCACTTGCTGAACACCTGGGTTTCTGGCTGGCCTCTCATGAGCATATGAAATGATACACTGAAATGTGTGTATTCCTTCTTTTCTTCCATCTACCTGGTTTCCCACCCTCCTTTATTGGAATAAGGACCTTCTTTGCTAAAAAAATCATCCAAAAAAAAAAAAAAAAGTGAGCCAGAGCTTTTACTCCACGTGAAAAAAAAAAGCTTTACTTGGGGTGTTTAGGAGAATTGGAATCCAAGAGTCATAAGCTAAGCCAAGCTGTGTGAGTGCTCCCGAGTGTGGGAAAAATACAGAGCTTATACAGCAGAACTGCTTATAACATTTCTCAAAGCAGAGAAGAAAAGCATGCAGACAGAAAGGCACTTACATGTCAGTGCAGTGACAGAGTCTTCTCTTGGGAGCTAGGGCCTGGTGGCATTTTCCAAATCCTGTGAGAAGTCTGGTACAGTTGCTTCAAACTCTACAAATTCCTTGGTTCGGGATTATGGCTTAATGGAGGTGATGTCTACAGTTGAAAATACAGCTTGCTAAGCATTCAGGCATGGAGGACCTGTCAGTTCCAGTGCCCACATGGCCTCCTACTCCACTTGGGATATTTCCTTATCAATTTTGATTTTCTGGTTTCTCGGTCATCTTTACACCTTTCAACACTGAGTGGAGTTGGCACTCCCACACAAGACCATTGGGCCCTTGAGGCCAGGTGGCAGAGCAAGGAAAGAAAATGTCAAGGAAAGGAAGTGGGATTCCCAAACTAGACCTTACCCATTTTCCAGTTTCCTGCAATAGGTCCTATTTTTTGCTTCTGTGCCTTTCTTTGTAATTATTTTCTCTTGCTTTTTCATATAGAAAAGGGGAAGGAACCCAAAATTTGGGGGCATGTGTGATGTGAGCACAGTGGTTATTTTTATGAAATGGACAACTCAGTTATTGTTACAGAACTTCATGTGGTATGTGTATTTATCCCCATTTTACAGATGAGCAAACTGAGCTGACTACTAAGCTATCCAAAGCCACAGGCAGAGAGTGGGGAGCTGGAGTCAAAGCTAGGGGGCTGTCTTCAGAGGTCTAGGGCACTCATAGGGCCTTCAGGTTAGTCCTTATTCTGCATTTCAGAAAGGAGCTGATTGTACTTGGACCTAGGGACCCAGTGAGGCGATTAGTGGCATGTCCAGTAACATCCCACAGGGACAGCTGTGTACAGAAGCAGGACTCAGTGTGAGGAGAGGATGCAAAGATATGGTTTTCAGTAGACATTTTTATAACTTCTCTGTTTACAGGTCAGCATGGGTAATGAGCAGCTGAACCAGTTAAATACATTATTTCCTGAAAATGATTGCAACCTCCTTTGACATTAATAATAGAATAGTCAATGCTGAGAAATGATGTGACTGTCCAACATAAAAATACTCACTGTAGTATTTAGAAATCAGCATTTTAAATCTCTTCAAATTATTATGATCACCCCCCCTTTTTTTGGGTCACAAACTATTTCATGGTATGACCTTAGTATGGTTTGCAGAAATTATTAAAACTTCTATCATGCAAGTTTCTAAGAACGTGTTCTGTCTTTTTAATAGTCCTATAATTCAGATAATTTCCCTATATTACTTTAATCCTAAAATGAATGAAATGCCTTTTGGGATGATTTACTATTGCTTTGCAAATAAAGTTTCCCTTCACACAAGCTCCATCAGGAGACCTTTCTGACTCTTCCCACATTGCCCTACATGTGGGTAGAACCCACATCTCCCTCCTCTTTTCCTGCTACAGGTACCTCCCTCTGATTTTTCTGGGCTCTACCATGAGTTAGAGATAGGATTTTCATCTATTTCTTCATTCCTGTAAGACTCTGCAGTCTTATTACTTGTCTGCCCTGTGTGCTTATTACTTGTCTGCCCTGCCAGATGCTGCCTTCTCCATGGTGCCCTCAGCAGAGCCCCTCCTCTGTTCCCATAGCACTTGGCCATCAGCCTGGTTCATGTGGTGGGTGCAGGGCCCCTGCAACTGAGTGGGTCATGCCCCACCATACCCAGCTACTGAGGGGACTCAGCAGGGCTGGGCATGGCCTGCTGTACTCAGTTACTAAGGGCACCCCCCAAGCAGAAGTCAGTCATGCTCTGCTGTACCCCAATCCAGGAGCCTCCTAAGTGTGGGGGTTGGGGGTTGGAGGGGTTAAAACAGACACTCCTCTTACATTTTGTCCCTTTAACATTCTACTTCTGTGGAGGTATCACACTCCCAGACTTCAAACTATACTACAAAACCATAATAATCAAATCTGCATGGTATTGGCACAAGAACAGACACATAGACCAATGGAACTGAATACAAAATCCAGAAATAAACCCACAGATTTACAGTCAACTAATCTTTGACACAGGAGCAAAGAATATGCAGTGGAGCAAAGAAAGTTTGTTCAATAAATGGTGCTGGGAAAACTGGGTCGCTACATGCAAAAGAATGAAGCTTGACTACTCACACCATGCACAAAACCAATTCAAAATGGATTGAAGAATTAGACATAAGACCTGAAACCATAAAATGTAAGAAGGAAATATAGGCAAAACACTACATGACATACACCTCAGTAACATCTTTAAAGACACATCACCCAAACAGTGATAGTGAAGACAAACAGCTAGGACTGCATCACATTAAAGAGCTTCTGTATAGCAAAAGAGACAGTAACCAAAACAAAGAGACACCCTATCAATTGGGAGAAAATTTTTGCACACAATATGAATGATGGGGGACTGATCACAAAAGTCTACAAAGGGTTGATGAGACTCAACAAAGACAAAGTAAATAACATAGTCAAAAAATGGGCAGAAGAGCTAAAAAGAAACTTCTCCAAAGAGGAATTGCAAATGGCCAACAGACGTATGAAAAAATGTTCAACATCACTTGTAATGAGGGAGATGCAAATTAAAACTACAGTGTGATACCATCTTACACCAGTGAGAATGCACATATTAAAAAAAACTAGCAACAACAAATGTTGGAGAGCACGTGGAGAAAAAGGAACTCTCCTGCACTGCTGGTGGGAGTGCAAACTGGTGTAACCACTATGGAGAGCTGTGTGGAGAGTCCTCGATCTGCTAAACATGAAGCATCCATATGATCCAGCAATTCCACTCCTAGGTATTTACCAAAAGGACACAGAAACATCAATTCAAAAGGGCACCTGCATCCCTATGTTTATAGTAACACTATTTACAATAGCTAAGCTATGGAAACAACCCAAATGCCCCAAAATAGATGATTGGATCAAGATGTGGGACATATACACAATGGAATATTACTCAGCAATCAAGAAAGATAAACTCATGCAACTTGCAGCAACATGGATGGAGCTGGAAGGGATCATGCTCAGTGAAATGAGCCAGAAACAAAAAGAAAAATACCAGGTGGTCTCACTCAAAGCAGGAATTTTTCAAAGGGACCAGGAAAATGACTAATTATAATAACGTAAAAATCAAAATCAACAAGCAACTATAAACAAGATGCACACTATGGGGGTCGTGGGGGGAGAGGGGAGTAGGATCAAAACAAGGGGGTGGGAATTGTATGGGGACTGTAAACAAGATGAAAATGCGTGCATTGCACAAAAATGAAACATGATGTAAAAATGTATAAAATAAAATAAAATAAAATAATAAAAATAAAAAACATTCTACTTTGATTGAATGTTAAGTATGTGTCTGAATAGACTGTGCATAGTTATAAGGGAATCATCTGATTTCTATATCATAATATGTAAAGTCAGTCTATAATTAATTATACTGAACTGGGAAGTTTTGAATTGTACCTATGGGTTCTGTCAAAGAGAATCAATTCCCCCCTCCATAAGAAGATCAATGTACCTTCTCTTACTCCTTTCCTTGCATAACACCAATTTTGTGTCTTTATTTTTTTCCTTAACAGGCTTCCATCTCTATCACAAGTTGCCCACAATAGTGCCCGAGAGCTGCCTTCTTATAATGGTTGGACTTCTACTAGGAGGGATTATTTTTGGAGTCGATGAAAAATCTCCCCCTGCAATGAAGACTGATGTGTTTTTCTTGTACCTCCTACCTCCCATTGTGCTTGACGCGGGCTATTTCATGCCCACACGTCCATTTTTTGAGAACATTGGCACCATCTTCTGGTATGCGGTGGTAGGGACACTTTGGAACTCCATTGGCATTGGGGTATCTTTGTTTGGCATTTGCCAGATTGAAGCCTTTGGTCTGAGTGACATCACTTTGCTCCAGAATCTGCTCTTTGGCAGCTTAATCTCAGCGGTGGATCCCGTGGCTGTTCTTGCAGTCTTTGAGAACATTCATGTCAATGAGCAACTCTACATCCTGGTCTTTGGAGAGTCCCTGCTCAATGATGCAGTGACGGTGGTGAGTAGCAAGTCTCTGCCTTGCATTTCTCCAACATGTACGGCCGCCCATCAGCATCTGTCTACATTCTGACAGTGACAGCTGAGGTGTAACCCTGAAAGTGGGGTGAGCCTCACCTGTGTGGTCCTACAGAACAGCACTGGGAAGGGCCCCACACTTGGTGTAATGCTCTGTTGTTTCCACTTTGACATTCTCAGTACATTCTTAGATTTATTATTATTAGAAAGTTAGTATTATACCCTAGGTCCCTCATTTTCCTTTTGTACTGGGCCCTGAAACTATTAGCTGGTCCCTGCTTTCAAGGCCCTACTAAATGCCAAAGGATCATGAAAGTTATGGATCTTTGTATCTCTGAGGAGTTTTTATTTGGGCGTGATTTCTTATACAATAACAATGATGTAAAATATATATAAATAAATTTAAAAAGAGTAATAGCCTTTGGTCAGAATTTAAGGACATCAGGTCCCAGAATTCCTTGTGGTGAGTTATGGTGTTAGTATGAAATGTGTACAACACAAATGAAATGAATACTACTAAGTGCCATTCTCTGTCTGGGGGTACTTTATTATTTCATGATTTTGAACAAATTTTTAATCTCATTCTCTGTTACTGCTCAGCTAGCAAATTTCTGTTCCTCATCATTTCTCCTTAGGCGAGTATTTATTCATAAAATGCAGATTGTTTGTGAATCTCACTCATTGACCCATGATTAGAGTCAGAGTCTGTTATGAATGTGCTAATAGCAGAATTTACTTCCACCCTGCCTTTCAGCTCAGACAAGGTGTGGACAGAGGGCTGACAAATCCTATCCTTTCCCCCACAGTCCTACAAAAAGCTTCTTGACCAGTGAAAGTCTTGCAAGTGACCCTGGCTCTGTAAACCCTTTATATTGCATTGCTAATGGTTTGTGCTCTCTCTCAGAAATGGTGGAGGTTGTGACAGCCACTCACTTTTTGTGAATTCTCACCATGTTGTAGTCTTACATTGATTGTCTTATTGACAACCTGTGAAGTAGGTATTCTCATTTTTCAGGTAAGAACATTGAGGCAGAGAAAGATTAAGGAAAGTGTGTTTAAGTAACTTTTATTCCTTTATTAACTTCTATCATTAAAAATGTTACTCCTGATTCTTCTAAAGTTAACATAGAAACCAAAATTATTCCTTGTTGGCCAATATTCAGACCCCTAAACTGAATAAAATATCAGCTTTGAGTGTGTCCATTAACTCCATGTGTACATTTTTAATGTAGTGAATGGCCTATTGTTAAGTGTACTCTGATTTTTTTTTTTTAGAATAGCAATGGAGACAGCTATTTTAAAGCAGCTAAGCCACCTTGCTCAAGTAACAAAATCCACTCTTTTATTCCATCATTCATTAACAATGATTAGTCATTAACTTGACAATATTAAATTTTACCTGGGAAACTTGCATAAAATTGAAGACATTTTATAACATTTTAATTACGGGAAGCATCAAATTTCCCATGGTGACTTATGTTTGATACTTTACCATTGTTGGAGAGTGTGGAAATTTCACCATGGAATTCTGCATTCATTTAGTATAAAGGAAAGTTTACAAAAAATGGTGAGACCTTATACTCTATCTAAAATTGGGTAGCAAAATCAGACCAGTGGTAGAGAGATATGCCTTTACACTGTTACCTCGTCTTGTAAAATTTCTCAATAAAACACCTCAGTGGTCCTTTCTTGTAGTTTGTCAAGAATCGAATCTCAGGCAGGGATGTAGCTGAACTACTATTTAAAGTGTGCAAAGGCCCCAGGCTTTCCAGACGCATCCTGTGCTTCCTGCCAAGAGGCACAAAGCCATCAAATGTGGTTTTATGTTCAGAGAGAGCGGGCTGACCCAGAAGGGCAGTGGGCCAAAGAGAGGGCTGCCATTCCAATACAGGAAGGAGGCAAGGGCAGAGAAAGGGCATAGCTGGTCTTTGGATGTGGAAGTCCTTGTCTCATGGCCAAAGTCTGTAGGTCAGAACTGCAGTGGTTTCACATGAATGAGCCTTCGTCAGAAGGTTCATGCACTGGACTGAAAGCCTGTGACCCTTAAAGCCAGATCCGCAAGATACCACGCTATGCCCAGGGTTTTGCCTACTCAGAGCTGTAGAACAAATTACTCAATGTGTCTTTCATTGAATGGCTGTAAATTTAGTGAACTAAATTTACCAGGCTTAGGACTCATGAGAACAATGGTATAAAAAGTTAAAATTTTGCCTCATGGTTGGGTACCCTTAAAGAATATAGCTAGAGATGAACCATGGAAGATTCTAGGTTTCATTGCTCTCTAGTCTTATCTTTAGGAAAAGTTTTTAGGGACCTATGGAATAGCAAAGGTATGAAAAATATGGACTATACAGTACACAGTAAAAATGATGTTCCATTAGGAGTTATAACTAGAAAGGTAGAGGTTCAGCAGAGAGAATTAATGTGGAAAATATAGCCTGAAGCTGGGTGAAATTTTAGGTCACTGCAATGAATTCCTTCCCCAAATCATGGTAAATTCAATATTGATCAGGAAGTGTTACAATCAAGAAAATGTCTTAAAGAAAAAAGAAGTTGATAATACATAAATTGAAATCAACCTCTTTGACTTCAATTGTTGTCTTGGTCTATAGAAATTTAGAAGTACTAAAGAAATGACAAACATACCAAAAAATGAAGGTTTGATTTTTAAATAGGATTTTTATGCTTTTCCTTATAATAAACATTTTAAGAAAACTTTTCAAGATTTCTCTAATTAAAAAGATTATTTATGTTCTCTGAGAAGTCCTGTTATTTCCACAGTAATCTGTAATCAGATGACTAATGCTCACAGGGGAACTTCTAACACTTCTGGAATATGCTAATGCAACCATTAAATATTCAAATAAATTTTCCAAGAATGCTTAAATTGTTTTGTCAAGCTCTCCTAATGAGGCTGGGTTAAGGAGAGCTGGTTCTATGGAAAAGGGCTATGGACGTACCCCCATGGCTCAGTCCTGGTGTGTTATGCCGTGGAATTTAACTTCAGGAAGATGGGGGTGAATAGTGACTATTGATACTTCAGTTTGCATTTGCAAATCGCAGAATAGGTTTGCAATTCTTTTTTTTTTTTTTTAAAGACTTATTTATACAAGAACTAGGGTACAGGCCAGATGTGTGGGAGGGTGAGAGGATTCACTAGAGACAGAGCAGGAACAGAATAGGCAGACTGACTGAAATACACTGCTGAGGGGAGCAGCAGGTGAGGCAGGAGAGGTCTGCCATGCCTTGTGGGATTCTTGCCAGCTGGCCTGGATCAAACCCGCGCTGCAGACCCTGCGGACAGCTTCACAGTGTGGTGCTCAACCACTTGCGCCACCAGAGAGGCCTGGTTTGCAATTCTTTATGCAAAAGTAATTATACTTTGCATCTCATATGAAAAAGTGATCTGAAAACTATTTACTAGGAAAAGAGCTATTCTGATAAAGAACTCTTATTGTGAACACTTTGCTTTATATAATTTCTTTGAATTATTGCAACTTTTAAATCAAAGTTCAAAATAGAGCATTGCTATTTTAATATATTTAATATATGTATATGAATTTAAAAATAATAATGAGTATAAATATTTGAAAGTACTCAGCCATCGAATTAGCAAACTAAAGTATTTAGCAAGTGGGCATCGCCGGCACTTCAGTCTTCTAAAAATACATTTTGTCAAGTTGAGGTCAGCTTTGCATAGACCAACTGGAGACGTAATTATACCCTGCATACGTAATGCATATACATAAATATATATATGCATATACATGTATATATGTGTTATATATAATATGTATAAATAAGAATTCCAGGTTCCCTTCAGGTTAAATTAAAGAATTTAACTGGTATGAACTTCCTATGAGTTTTGGCCACTGGCAACTAAAATAATTTTATCTCATGCTGGTCACTAGGTATCAGGTTCAATGTTAAGCAGGTTGGAGGTTATGGAAAGCTTTGTAGTCGTTAGGGTAATGTCTCTACCTAAGACATTTCCTCTTCACATTGCCCTGGCATCTGAGGCAATGCACGATCATACCCGAGCTTCCAACCGTTACACTAAAAGTGAAATATCAATGACTCAGCTTCACTCTTAGCAAAACCAAAAGAGATATTTAAGACAGAATGTACCTTTGATAGATTTGATGGATCGAGTTGCCAGGAAAAGGCTTTTGAAAGATGATAACTGTACAGTGCATCTGCTCATGCCAATTGTTCCTTAGGAGTGAGCCCATGGGCTTGCTTTGGAGACCTCATCCATGTGCTAGTTGGCATTGAAGGAGGTAGGGGAGAAAGAGGGGCATCCAAAGGAGATGGCAGTTTCTGCACAAGGATTCTAATTTTCCTGGGAAATGAGGAAGGCTCTCAAGGGTTAGCAACAACACCACAAGATGGCCTATCACCAAACACTGATGGTTTTGATCTTCTTTTGTGTGTGGCAAGGAGATTTTACTACTGGAATTAAGCAAGGAGGCATGAGGATTGCTCTTGAAGCACTGTCTCCCTGTCCTAAAGGGAGTGAGGAATTTTGTAGGACTACTGGTGTTTGGACCAGGCAGGAGCAGGGCGTTTGGAAGCTCAGTTGCACAGATCATACCTCTACATGGATCATATGTTCAGGAAATGGTAGCTAAGCAGTGCCCCAGATGGGGATTTTAGTATGCAAATGGATGTCGAAGACCCTAAGGTAACTTCAGGGTCCTTCAGGGTCCTGGGCATATTGCTTTAGGGCTTAACCAGATAGGGCTGGAGTGTATATTTGATCCCTAAGTAACTGGCTTTAAATAGCTTGAAGGGTTTTCCTGATAATGCCATCTGCCTGATCAGTCTTCTGCCTCCTGGGTAACAAAATCTGAGGGAGATTGTCTTGTGCAGGAAGGCAAAGGGAAAGGTGAATCACAAAGGTTGTGAGAGTCCAGGAGTATTCTTGGGAGACGCAGCAGCCTCAGCTGAACACTGGAAGACAAAATTTCTAGTTTCGGGGCCTGGTTTCTGTCCAGAAAACCCCAGGGAGGAAACCAGGGTGGGGAGGAAATAATATGGAGCGTATTATGGAGCACTGATGAGACCCTCTCTCAGTCTGAAAGGTACTTGAAAGCAGCTAAAAGAAAAAAAAAAAAAAGTGGTATGCTAGGTATACTGAGCCTCCCAGGCAGGCAGTAAAAGATCATAAACTGGAGAATGAAAGCTGGACTAGCAGTTTTTAAAGGAAGTCATAAGCCTTTCAGTGGCTGTGGGGGCTTTTGAGCAAGGGAAAGGCAAGGTTTGCTGGTGTAGTCAGGAGCAGAGAGAGTCTAAGCTGTGGGACCTGGGGACAGAACTGCTCCTTGGTCCCAGAGAGCTGTCCTGGCACATTGGCAGCCAGGGCATCTGTCTCCGATGGGTGCCCATCACCTTTTGGCACTGGCTATTTGAAGGTATTAAAAATCTCTGATCCTCTCTCAGGAAGCAATTGTGTCATTCTGAGGCTGATGAAATCTGATGTGTGCTCTGTTGAAAGTAGGAATTGGCTGCTACTTGAAGCCAGTGTCTTTTCTGCAAATGATGATGCTGTCAAGATATTTCAAGATAATCTGCAAGGGAGTGAGTTGGTCTTTCTTTCTTATTCAAGTCATTTTTTGGTGGTACACTATCAAATGCTCCTGAGTGTCACACCAATAAGGAGAGAGGAAAAGCTCGTTGCTTTCTAAGTAACAATCCACGGTTTTCTTTTCAAAACCTCCTGACATTTGCTGTCACCCACTAAGCAACATGGAAGAAGGAAATCATAAGGTGTGATTTTGGACAATAAGGAATTATGGATTCCATAGAAAGCAGGAAAAAAATCACACACAACCTGTAATGGGGAAGGCTGCAAGGACTGTATGTGAGGTAGAAAAGAGTGAAATGTGTTTTGCCAGGATACGTGGCTTTGCGGGGAGAATCTGACTCATTCCCTCATAGTTGGTCCTTGAAAAACTTAACCAGGAGGCCAGGAGACCTGGATTCTGGTATCGATTTTGACATTTGATGTGACCCTGGACAAATAGATTCAATTTTGAGTAGCTCAGAATGAAATAAGTGCATAGCACAGTCTGTATTATGAAAGGCGTTTGACCTCTGTGTTCTGTCAGCCATGTTCCTCAAGAATCAGCTGCTCCCAAAGTTGAAGATATCACAATGAAAAGAGCAGGACATCTGTGTGTCTGCCATTTTAGAAACATACATACAACACAGATTACTGCCTCTTTGTTCACGAAAATTCCTTTGGGTCCTTTGGTGGGGCTAGTGGGAGAGATATCTCAGTCACCCGAGAGAAAGAAATCTTCAGGTGAGATACCTGTACTGATGGTGGGTCCCTTCTCTGGTGTAACCTCACAACAGGGTAAATAAATTCACAGCCACCCTGATAAACTTTCTCTGTAACCTATAGCTTCGCAAGCATCAGCAATACAAACAGGTTGTGTTGGATGTCAACAGAGTCTTTAAAAATAATCTTTTAGATGATATCTGAAAAAAAATCATGTTTTAGGTATAAGTTGGGTAACTATTTTGAAATCTCCTCTCCACTTTTCTTGATAACACACTTTTATCAAAGCTTTTTGTTTAGCAATATTAAGTATAATATTAAAGTATGAAGTAAATAAGTCACAGTTACTGCCACTCATCATCTACGTTGCACACAGAAGGAATGTCCTTGTGAAAGGCCAGGTAGACATCTGACGACAATGACAATGGCAGTTAAGGACCTTGACAGTGTGCTGTCTGTCTCCTGCAGGTCCTGTACAACTTGTTCAAGTCTTTCTGCCAGATGAAAACCATCGAGACCATTGATGTGTTTGCCGGAATTGCCAACTTCTTTGTTGTTGGAATCGGTGGTGTGTTGATTGGCATCTTCCTGGGATTTATAGCGGCATTTACGACTCGGTTCACACACAACATCCGAGTGATTGAGCCACTCTTTGTCTTCCTGTATAGCTACTTATCCTACATAACAGCTGAAATGTTTCACCTGTCAGGTATCATGGCGTAAGTATTGCACTCTTGGTTAAAATCACTTAACAAGAGACGTTTCATTGAATTCATGCATTCTAATTTGAGATGTTAATGTTGAGTAAGTTACATATAAGGAAACAGATTTTACTATTTCTTTTAATAACAATTAAAAATAGATTTTTCCTACTCATCAAAGAAATGAAAATATTTTTCAGCTAATTGTATGCTGAAATCATCTGGTGCGAAAGTGGTAAAGTGCTTAAGTCATCTCTTGGGTCTCATATGAAACATGGCACTAAACTGTTGGGGCTGATTGTCAGGCACTAAGGATTTTCTGAGTTTGATGCCCAGATGGTGTTGTCCATGTGGGAAGCTGTAAACTTACTTCAACCACATCGTGCCACCCAAACTGCATTTGGAGTTCTGGAATTACTTATGTATAGTCATTTGAATGATCTTGGAGTAGCAAACCTTCATTTTGTATGATAGATTTCCCTTAAATAATAGCTTACTTTCATTCATAGCAAAATTCAATGACTAAGGCAATCATGTAACTTCACATACAATCATGTAATATTAGTTTAGCTTGTCAAATAAAGAGATATGATTATAAAGCAAGAAATGTATAAAGATATAATTATTTCTTCATTTAAAATAGTATATATTTCTCTAACTTCTTCAGAAGGATGTTCTCGAAGAGTTCTTCCAGTGAGGTATGAAGTATTTGGATTCAAGTTTAGCCTTTGAGGAGTTACATTGAAGGAGACTACTCATTGGTTATGGAAGATTTTGTAGTTTCTGAAATCAAATCAAGCCTATTATCTTATGGTGCTGCCATGTATTGGGTCAGTGAGAAGAAACATTTTATAATGAAATGCCTTTAAAATTTTTATTTGGGCAAATATTTATTTGCAGCATGATATATGTTAACTTCTATGCTAGGGCCTGCTATATACATAGTCAGTTTTGCTGTTATGATAGGTCTATTTCCTCTTGAAGTTTTCTCTTGTGACCTGATTTAGGTCAAGTTTTGATTGAGGATTTTTTTTTTTTTTGCCTTATGTCACAACTTTTTTTTTTTTTTTTTTTTTTTTTATCAGAAGCAGATTTGGTTTGTGGTGTAGGAAGTCAATCACCTGCCTGCAAGCAGAGTGGAATCCACTGTAATGAAAGCCAGAGTTAAAAGGTTGTGTGGTTTTCCATTTCACAGTGAGCCTATAAAAAGCAACATATTAATCCACTTTGACTGAGTAATGGTATCTTCTGAATCTTCCTGGTTGCTATTCATATCATTTGTATGACTTCCAGTTTCCTCACTGTTCTTTGACCAATGTCATTGAAAGTGTATGAGCAGCTACTCACAAGGTGTGTAGAGGGGATAGGAGTGGGACTTTATCTGGTTTCCAGCAGGGTTCTGTTGGTATAAGAATCATGAATTTATTCTGACCATGTGCATATCTAAAAGTTCTGTTACACATATATTTATGTTTGTCATTTGCCTGGTATTCAAGAATTGGAATTGGGAGGGGGGATGATCCAGAATATAGGGGGATAGTCGAAGTGTTGAACGGGGTCCAGGTACATCTCTGCTCAGTAATCTGCATCACAACTCCTTAGCAGTGTCACTGAGTCTACAGGGCTTGGGAGGTTGTACTGCATCAAGTCACCAACCCTGTGAAGATGGGATCATGGCTTTATTTGTTCTCAGAATTAGAAAATCAGGTACAAATAGGGCTACATAGTCCAGTAACTAGCACTATAATTCTTTGCCGTAGATTTTTGATGCATGAAAAACATCACCTTCATTTACAACTTCAAAGTGAACATTTATTTTGCAGCTCAGTGAACAGAAAAGTCCTTTATCACATTTAAAGTAATACTGTCATAAAATGCAGTACATTAAATTAGTAAATTAGCCATTAAATAAGACATTACAGGAGATTTAATCATTTTTACATATCTAGACTTTACCATGTACAACCATTATCCTATGATAGCAATGAAGGGACAGTTTCTGTTGGATTGTGTTTGTTCTCAGAGGTAACATCCTGTTTGTTAATGCAGGGTAATTAGTATGCTATTCAAAACCTGACCACGTATGATGTTTCTGTATCGTGCATGAATCCCCCTCTGAAAGGGCAATGAGTGAACTTCCATGTTGTAATTACTGTACTTACCTTGGGAGGCTGGTCCAGGCGATACAGTATAATGATGCAATTAAAATCGCACGTTCATGTGCACCTCTTTATAGGACTAGTCATTTTATTTCTGCATATAAATCATACTGAGATTAGAAATTCCTATCACACGTGATGCTAATTACACTTCCTTTTGCCATTTAAAAACAAATTTTAAGGTTAATGGGAGTGAAGGTATGTGATGTGTTGAACATGCTGTCATTTTCCTGTTGGTTTAAGAGAAATAGACAGCCACACAGAAAGGAAAATAGGCAGAGAGGTTCAGCAGCTCTCGAGCTGACAAAAAGGTGAAAGCACCTGTCTCAGAAATTGTAAAAGCATAGAGCAGTGAAACTTGGTATCCCTGAGGTTTGCCTGCTGGTCCTCTTCCTTCCCCTGCCTTCTTCTCTCCATTTTTCCTTCTCCCAACCTCTTGCAGATCCTGTAACCTCCTGTGCTTTAGCTTTGTCTTGAATGGACTCTTGGACATCCTGTCCTAGAATGAGATCAGTTAGTGAGCAGGTAGTTAATTAAAAAAAGTCTCATTAAAAAAACACACACACACACACCTGCCATATAACTGAAGGCCTGGGTTTGGGTATAAAATGCTGTCAGACTTTTAGGGAGGAAAGCACTGGGCAAGATTTCAGCATCTTGACTTCTTTGGAAGACAGCAGAAATGGAGGATGTCAGACACAACCTACCTTGCACATTCATAAAGCCTAAAGTTTAGTCTTAAAGCCGCATTCATAAAGCACTTTCATAAAGCCGTAATGGTGATGTTACTTATTTTTTTGTCATGAAATTATGGGTTGATATGATTTTCATTGACATTAAGTAACAAATAATATGAGATGGAGTCATGTCTGTCTTCTCTCTTTTGTAAACTCTTGGAAAGCTGACTTCTAGGCATTCTTAGATTCCATTTCCCCTTTGTGGTCTCTCCTAATACTTCAAAACCTAGTTTATTATTAAAAAAATATTTATATTCAAGTCTTTGTGTATGTTCAGGAAGGCCTTAGCTGCAAATGCAAAGAGGGTAAATAAAATTCTCAGTTTCCTAATATTCTTCTGTCCATCTATGTTGGAATAAGTTGTTATAACAGAAAGTGTGTGTGTGTGTGTGTGTATGTGTGCATGTGCACACACACTACATGTGATTTCAGAGTGAATTTCCACTGCCATGAGAGCTAAGGGAAAATTTATATAATTACCTGAACTAGAAAGTTCACATATCAATAGCGATACTCACCTTTTGGTATCAAAACACTATAACAAGGGATATAATAGTGGCTAAATAATTACTGATTTTAGAAATGCATAACTTGGCTCTTTATTTGGGGACTCATGTTCACAGAAATGCTCACTTATTAGCCACTAAGGATTCCCTATTGTTGTTCCTGTTCCTTGCCCAAGGACACTACCAATGTCAGGAGGTCTCTAAAATCACATCCACAAAGAAGTGAAGTGGGATCTTATTCCCTCGTGTGGACATCAGGCACCTTTCTGGTCCTCACCTTGCACCTCACAGATTCCCCTGTGCGCCAAATGGACCTTGAAACAACACTGTTCTGAAGAGGGGGTGCTTGGTTTCCTCTGTAGTTTGCAGCCTGCTGCAAATTTTTTTTTTTGATGTGCTCTGGGAATTTTAAAAATTAGTCAATTTTTCCAACAAATAGTAGAGTAGGCACCTAACATTTCTTAGGTTTGTTTTCACAGATTAATTATCCCTAGTTCTTCTTCCCTAAAGGGTACTTGAAAGATTTTCTGTTTGCTGCTTCAATTAATCTAGCAGTATTACTGCAAACAAAATAGGGAATGGTGATTATTAGTTTCATCTTATGAATGAGAAATTGAGGCCCAGGTATACAAAAATCATGACTGGGGGTGACTCTGTGGAAAGTGGAGCTGGACCCTGGGTCTCCAGTTGTCAGGCCAGTACAGGATCTTCCAGTATCTACTTCAAAAATAAAAACAAGAACATTTCAACATAATTTGTAACATGACTGTCACAGAAATTTCCTGGATGATAGACTCAGAATCAAGTCTAGGAGCTGCTGAGCAGTTGGATGGAAGCAGTTGCTGTTGAAGATGCTAAGATCATAGTCTCTTTCTTCCTTTTTTCTTTGTCTGAGTTGGTGACTGTCATCTATTTGAACTTTGGAGAAAAATAGGAAGATGTGCTTTTGTTCACCATCTTGTAGCTTCTATCTGGTTCTCCTTGGTTTGCTCACATTTGCATAAAGCATATAAGAGACCATCTCTTCAAGATGTAATTTTTCCTAAATGCGTCCCAAGTTGACTGAATATTTTTCTCGGTGTAAGAACGTGACCTGAAGGTTTAACAAAACAATCTGTATAATGCAAGCTGGATAAATAGTTGTCTGCTCACAAGTCACCCATTATCACATATTCTGACCTGGACTTCATGGAAATCCAGTTGGTTCCTAAAACCTCCTGTTTTAATCAAAGAGTAGGCAAACCACATCATCTTATTTCTAGTTTAAACTTTAAACTTCACATTCAACCCATCCCAAAATCTGTACCCTCCCCTGTATATATACAAATATTTTTGTAACTTTTTAAAATTGCGGTAACATTGGTTTATAACTCTGTATGTGATTTAGAGGCATAAATCACAGCTCCTTAGATGTATGTTACCACACACCACACCCACCACCAAGGCACTAATAATCCTCCACCACAGACCGCTGGGCCCCAAAGAATTGGCCAATCCTGAATGGACAAGGGATACTCTATTATAGGGTCAAGTCCTGAGCCACAGGACTGTTTATACACCAACATACCTGTACTTCCTTGTTCTTCCTCTCCAAACAATGTCATAACTCTTAATTT